ACCATGAGACTGTTACTCCAAGTAAGGCAGCGTTTCCCGAACACTTGCTACATGCAAGCCAGGACCCCACGTGGGGAAGTTGTAACTCCAGGAAAGGCAGAATTCAGAGAGAAATCATGCCAGCTACTTAGGGACATTCTAGTAATGTACCAACAGGGTGATCTGAGGGCCTCCTATCTAAAACACATTTTAAAGCCCCTAAGGCCTTCATCATGTCCTTTTGGACAAGAAGAAAAGCAAGGGCAATTTGCAGGGACTTAAATACAGATGGTGAGCTGTGTGCAGGGCAATGGGCAGGCTGTCCTCACCACCAGGGTCCCTGGAACCTGGGAACCTTCGTGGCTCATGCCTGCCTCCAGATCCAGGGCCAGTTTCATGCCACCAAAAAGTCTTCCATCCACCCCAGGACCACTGCCTATCTCTCAGTTGCTTCTGATGCTGCCAGGAAGTTCTCACTTCCATCCCCTTTGATTGCAAATGCACTGGCCTCAAGCTTTGGAGGGGTCATGCCAACTTGCTCTCTCTTATTCTGGGACCCAGCCAGGGCCACCCTTTCCCTTTCTAGGCCTGCCTTTACTTGCCTTTATCTTTTAAGGCATAAGCTCTAACTGTAGTTATAACAGGGTGTGCATATAACACGTAATTATGTGTATACTTATGCATAATTATATTATAATTATATTTGTAGTGGATAAATAAAGTGTGCAATGGCGTACTAGACTACATCTGGAGCCTCGTGGGGGTTCTGGGGCCGGGGGAGGGAAGGTCCGCACAGTCCTAAGGACCTTCTATCAGAGTTTCCTCTCTATTAATCCACCTCAACAGGTGTATCTATCCCTGATTTAAAACACCCATAAATCAACATTTAGAATGCCAACTGATTGATCATATAGGCAGGCAGGTAGATCTGTAGAATTGTTTCTGAACTGTTGATTGATCTTCTCTAAGGGTCTTGATTAATTTATTGGCATTGAACTGTAGAAAAGTTTCTAGGTATCATTCCTCAAACCTCATTAGTGCATCTGGCATCTATACCAGTGCTCGGGAAAAATGGAAAACACAAAATATTATTTGAAGATGTTCCAAATTGGTAGATATAAGAAACATACTATTTGGCAGAGAATTTTAATAGCTTAGACATATCAGCGTCAATTTTTAAGGTGTGTGTGTGTGTGTGTGTGTGTGTGTGTATAAAATTAAAGAGTGGTAACAAGGAAAATTTGCAACATAATATTGGAAAAATAATTATAACCTGCAGCATAATTCCAAAGATAAAAAAAGTTGCAAAAATAATATAGAAACATGGCTTAACAGTAAAATATTAGGAAACTCTTCAGGCTGACTCTGAAGTTCAACTCTTAAGATGAAATGATGTGAGGGCAACCATATTGTCACTTTTCATCAGCACCTAGACCTTATTTCAAAGGAGGCGGCGTGCCTAAGACCTTATCTAAGCAGGCCACAGTGGAAGGCTGGGCTCAATGCTGTGTGTCACCCTTTTGAGAAGAAAACTGACCAAGTGGAGAATATCCATGATGTTGACAAAACATTCAAAAGAAGACCGGAGGACATTGGGAAGGAGAGTGGTGGGTGCCATGGAGGAAAGTGCTGCATTTATGCTTCTGCCCCCAGAGGCTGGAACCATCACCGATGAATGGGGGGTAACTGGTGGCCCTTCCTGCCGGTTCTAGAACAAGCCAGCAAGTACCAGAAGGCAGGAGACAGAGAAATAGCTCAGGAGAGGATGGATCCCCTCTCAGAGTCGCCTGCGAGCCATCCACTGACCGTCTCTCTGCACGATGCTGTCCTGACGTCACAACCAGCTGGACTCCGGGTTTCCATCCCGAGGGCAGGTGGCAAACCTTTGGGGCATAGAGAAAGCCAGTCCTTCATCTAGTCTTCCCTTTCTTCTCTGCCTACACTGAAGCTCCAACCTGCACTTTGATTTAAACTAAACAAAATAAGGGGGAAAAACCCAAACACTATTGTTATCACCAACACATTTGCAAAAAAGAAAAGCTTAACACACGCACAATGCAGAAGACCAGCAAGAGCGACAGAAACAGCAGTGAAAGCTTAGCGCCGGCCAGGGGCTGGTTTAGTGTCTACGCAGACCTCCTGTGAAAGAACCTGAAATCTTAGATTATTTGGTGGAGAAGGGGAACTTCTAAAAAAAATACACATTTCTATGTTTACTGCCTTTTTAACAAAATCGTAGTCACATTTATTATTTGTGGTTGCTCTTAAGGATATAAAGATCCCATCAGTGTTACTTGGAGTGAATACGATCTTAAATTATGTGGGATTCCTGTGAAAACCCTTTGTGGTTCTTAAACTGCTAATGGTACCTCTCCACAAGAAACTGCTTCTCTGCTGAAGAGTACCATGCCTGGACGGAACTTACAACTTCTAAAACCAAAGACTACATTCTTTTTAACTTGGCACTTTTCTTTGCCAAATAAACAACCGCCACTGTAAAATATTCTTTCTTCTCTTTTGTTTTTAACTTTCATCTCCATGCTCTTTATTCTCTGGTTCTTACACTTTAGCTTTTCTCTCTTCTGTGGTGCAATCACAAGTCATGCCAACAGCAGTGAGGCTGATTGACAAGTAAAACTGCTGTATTGTCGCTACCCCCTAAACACATTCACCTTTAAAAAGTAGTACTGTGAACAAAAGAAGTGGCAAACACAATAAAAGCCACCTGATACATTTGTGTATATGAATGATGGGTTTATGTAGGACACATTATTTCTTTAAATCAGCTAAGCATTGAGCCCATTCTTTATATGTTGCCTCTGTCATCAATTATAATTAAATAAGTGCCTTGTTAGTGCAATCTGTCATCTAGACATTTTCAATGTCTATAAGATGAATTTTTTAATGATATATTAATCTCAAACCATGAATACCTCCTCACTATAAAGTAGCCATACCTGT